CACTAGTGTAATGGTGTGGGAATGGGCAGCTACTTCAACTTAAGGATTTTCTTTTTATTGGGTGAGCTTGTCTGCGGATTGGTTTTCTTCTACCACTTGCACATTGTATACTGTGAAATGACTAGCATGCAACGTGTGGGTAAAAACCTTCCATTATCTCTTTTTAAAATTACATTTAGGTGAGCACCAGTACAACTTCCTGGAGTTAGTGCTTTATTGTTGGTATCTATTTTAGTTTGGTTGGTAAATCATAGCCTGTTCCAACAGTATGTATGCATTAAAAAAAAATTTACACATAAGATGTAAGAGAGAAAAGGGACTGTTTCAATGTTTTTTAATTACTAACAATTACCATTCTTCCAGAAAGTGGAAAAATTAACTGAGTGAAGAGCGCAAAACTAGGCGTAAATTTAGCAACATTTCTATTACTGCATCAATTCATCTATGTGTACATATATTTTTTAAGTGGAAGCAAATTGTAGCATAGTTGGCTCTCCTGTTCATATAGATTCCTTCTAAATTTAACATTCTTTTTGAGAGACTTGGTGGTGAGCCATCACATCATATATGTAGGATGCACGTTTAACATAACTCAGGAAGAAGAAGGAGTCCTCCAGGAAATGGAATGTGTATATTCTTCTTGGAAAAATTACAATATTTTCCACAAGTAAGAGCATACATTTGTTGGAAACTTAAAATGACCATAAGTACTTATTGAAACTCCTTTGAGAATCTGAAACCTCTTTTCCTGTTAAAATGAATGAAAGGTAGGCATCCTGGGTTCCTAAATATCTTGTAAATTCTCAACTGATATGGTCAGTGAAAAGTATTAGAGTAAATGAAAGATGGATCAAAAGGACATATATATTCTGTGTATTGTTCTTCATTCTTCTTGGACTACCAAAGAGGTTTGTTTTTTTTTTTAATTCAGTATCTTTTTGTACCTTTGAAATCACAAATTAAAAAGAAACAAGTAAGGATGTCACAGGTTCAAAACTTCAAAAATAAATCGAAACACAAAAATTTTCCAATTTTTCAAGGCTTAGAATCATGACAATACTGTTCAAGAATGTTGAGAGATATGAAAGTAAATTATTCTTTCCTCATTTATGTTACCTTAACGTGTGGAAGATTTCCTGACTTAAATTCTCAATACAGAATTATTGCAGAATCAGTACAGGATATCAAAAATTTCAGCCACTTTTCAACCACTTTAAGACCAGTGACCAAAGTTGGATGTAAGGCACAGGTGTTACTAATGGGGGATGAAGTAGAGAAGTAAACTTTGCTCTCTGTCCTGCCCTGAGTAAACTTGTGCCCTACTCATACCCTTAAACTCTTAAGACATGAGAGTGGCCGTTTAAGATATTAGTGCATGAATTTGAAACATAGTTCAAATGGTAGTTTTCCATGAGTAAACAATGTTTTTAAAAAAATAATTCTTCTCAACTGACTAACTACTGGTGCATAAAAATAACTGTGCTCGATGTTTTTAAAAGGTGATATTGCAGGGATTAATCATGCAGTCTGTACTTGGACAGAATTCCTTCTAAAGTCAATGGCACTGGTGCCTAAATGCAGAATGTGGGAACATGCCCAAGAAGAGCATTCCATGCTCAGAAAGCCTTTGTCTTTATATTCTGCCATTAGTCCAAATGCAGAGCCTGGCACTGCATTTCATGGCACGTGCTGCTCCACTAGTTCTTTAGAGAAGCAAGCTTTTTTTCTGTGTAAAATATTTTTATTCTTTCAAGTCAGTTTAACAAACAACACAAGGAAAAATAATTTCCTCTGAAAAGTTCTTGAATTGAAAATGCTGTAAATTTACAAATTCTGACATATGCCCTTTAAAACTTGTGTGTCTACTGTTTTTATTTTCATTATAGATTACAAGTTATATCCGTAATGTTTAAAAATGTTCTATTCCAGAAAAAATATGGCTTTTAACCAAATAAAAATGTAAAGCCAACTTGCTCTAAAATCCATCTGGTTTTCATTTTCTTATAATCTATAATCAGGAAATCCATTCATACATGACATATAATTTTTGTGCTTTCAAGTGGATAGGGGAATGCGATGTTCTGCATACAGTCACATCTAAATTGATAATTGTCCAGGCAGAGTGTAATTTTAAAGTATAGGATGAAGGAAGGTTTAATTTGTATATTAGAAGTCTTATACATTTTTTTTTGCCTCTGAATGTAAATGAGGCCATTCTCTCTGGTGGATTTATCTGAAGGTGGGACAGCTGCCTCAGAGCAGGCCACAGCTTTCTGAGTAAAGAGGATACGGTTTAAAGAACTGGTTTAAATGCAGACTCTTCTTAACTGCAAACCACACGCATGCATTCATCATTGATTTTCAAATGATGGGTTTCTGTATCATTGGTTTAAGGTCCACAGCCTTACATTCCTGAATCCACATTATACCAAAAGAATAACAATTTGGTGGCTGGAAAGAGGAATGGTTATTATATGGCTCCAAAACGCTGGCTGGCATAATATGCCATGAACAGCAGAAATCTATTTGTAAAGAGGAGATTGCAGTAGTTCTTAAAAATAATTTGGTGTTTTAAAAACGTAAATGAAAGAAACGTTATCACTGTTTAAAATATTTTACATCCATAGGTAAATAATGTAAATGTCAGACAACGTTTTCCAAAGAGTGAAGTTTTATAGACACGTTCTTTCTCTTGGTTTTTAATAGTAACTCATATTAAGTAAATCTTACATGGAAAATGGGAGTTCTTTTCTATAAGGTTTGCTATACTCTGAAAATCACACCTCTGGAAACATAGGTGGCAGAGCATGCTCCTTCATTAAATATCTTAGGTTGAATAACAATAATAAAAAAAACCAGACTGCTTCCTGAAACAGCTTCATTTTCACTCCCTGAAAAAAATGCTTGTTGTACAGCAGATTTCACAAGGCTGTCTTACTTCCTGTTGGTAAAATATCTCCTGTATGAAAACAGCACCAGAGAAACTGCTTTTGCTCAGTTTTTTCAGCCGATCGCTTCTCCATGTCATTAGTTATTCACTATTCAGTTCATAAAAGATCAACTTTTAAAAGGCACTGTAGTTTCTAGAAGAAAATACCACACATTCAAAATGCCCCATGTAATTTCACCGCCTCTAGTAACACATAGCATTAATTAGAGCATAATACATAGCAAATCCATGTTGAGAGTGATTGTTCATCTAAAAAAAAAAGCCTACTGACACAAAATGGAAAATTCTTGACAGTATTCTGCTATTTTAGCTTGATAAGTGTAAAATACACTTTTTTCATTAACTCGTTTTATCTCACTAACTGTAAGATATTATTAAGGAAATAAACAACAAGATTAGCTAAGAAAGATATTTTATTAAAAAATCTCTGAAGTGATCTGAATGCTTCTAAGTTTTCATCTTAATTCCTTTTTTTTGCAAAGGCTTCAGAGATCATGATAATTAAAAGTGTGAGAATAAATAAGCCAGGACAGGCCAGCTAATAAAGGTACTTCGAGCCAAGCACTTTGTGATGCTTTTCCTGTGTCCAAAGCCTAGGATCTTCCAGAGCCTGAAGTGGTGGGCTTGTATTTAATAGCATTTGACAGGTTTTTTTTTCCCATGGATTTGCTGATCTGATAAATACAATTAGCTGATGCGCTTGCGGATTAAAAACATGATTTAATGTTAGTCATGCTTGAACACACTTCATTATCCTAACAAGAAGACAGATTTGCTCTCATGTACTGTCATATTTATACCCACCTCATAGACCTTATCAAATTTAATTCCATAATCCATTTATGTCCTTTAGGGCTGTAAACCTCATTTCACATGTGAAAAAAAAAAAATATATATATATATATTGAGCTCTTCACTGACTTTAGGACTAGAAAGGAAATTTGAAGGTCTGAGGCTTCTAACTCATAGGACTATGTTGCTCATCTTCCTACACTATTTCCAGGTCGTGTTTTGCAGCTGGCAAACTGTGAATAAAAATCAAGCACAGAACAGAAAGTCTCCCCTAGCATTTGTTGTCTTGGTATTTAGTCATGAATGTTTACTCTTTCTGTACCAGATTTCATGGTTTTCCCTGTCTATAACAGCTCCTCTCATGAGTCTGTGCAGGCAGAATTTGATGGCACACTAAGAAGTCATCTCTTTCTCCAGGCTTTGGATGGGAAAGAGATGAAATAAAGCAAATTAAATAGGAAAGTCTCATTTTTAGTGGAATGGTAGGTCAGTACCCTTACAGATGTACAACTGTCAGTACTACATGGTGAGAAAAGGAAACCCTGTTTTGAAAAAGGCAAATCAAGCATTTGTCTGTCAAAATTGTTCCTAGGACTTGCAGAAAGCAGCAGAGAGCTGAAGATGAAAGATACAGTGGTATTTTCCAAATAAGGTTATGCTCTTTCTCCCATTGACCTTAGTGTTGACAGAATCAGGTCCAAAAAGTGTGGTGAAAGAGAGCCAAAAACATTTAAGAATCTTCCTAGTCCTCCCCCTGCCTTTTCTGGAAATTACAGCTTTGCTAGACTCATCCTTTGTTTAAAAACAAAACAAAACCATGACCTGGAAAGGGCTGAGTCAGGCAAGGCAGAATCCTCTGTAGTTGTCCAGAAAACACAGCATAGCTTTGACATTTTTTTAAGCCATAAGATTGTCTGACTTTCCTGATTCCCTGGTAAGGCAAACATTAGATCTTGGCTGCTCTGAGTGCACAATATATTGTACTATACACCATAGTGCTGTAAAAGGAGTCATATAATCAAAGTTACTCTCAGCACATCACTGACATGTCAGTTGCCATTGGAGAAAGCATTTTAAGACCATTTGTTCCAAATATGGCAAGTGGTATGTTTTCCTATAAAAATACATCACATGACACAGGTATTTACCTTGATTTTTTTTTTCTTTTTTTACATTTTTAGTGTTCAGTCTTCAGAAACACATTGGAGTTTACAATCTTTCCCTCTCCTTATTTTTTCATTTCTTTTTGCCTGAACAGGGAATGGATATGGCAACCCCCGCAACTCTCCAGGTCTGCTGGTCTCACCTGGCAATTTGAACAAGAATATGCAAGCAAAATCTCCGCCTCCAATGAATTTGGGAATGAACAACCGTAAACCAGATCTCCGTGTGCTTATTCCACCTGGCAGCAAGAATACGATGCCATCAGTGGTAATATATTTTCAAGTATTTTTTTTCTAATCTCCTTCAGATAAGAAATATTTAAGAATTCCAAGGCCTGCTCAAGCAACTAAAATCAGCAGAATAACATTCCACATGCTTGCTTGTTTGGTCTTTCTGTCTAATCTTAAGGCTTGACATTGAGCTAAGGATGTAGGCAGAGCCTGTTCGATTGCTTCTGTAAAACGTTATTTGCTTCCTCCCTTTTTTATGTTGAGTTGCAAAATAGGAACTGTGTCCTGCTTAGTCTAAACTTCTGCACTCTCTTTCTTAGTAGCTGGAAGAGCCTTTCCTGGATTTGTTATACAGGCTGAATTTAACCCTGAGTATTCCTAGCCTACTATGATTATATATTTACTATGATCGTTACATATTTAGCCACACAGACTCCCAGAAGATGGCAGATTAGCTACAAATAAATCAATTGAACTCTATCACTCTGAGCTCCAAAGGCCAAATTTTCTAACAATAAGAAGTAGTAAACAGCAACGTAAAAGGAGCATGAAACTGCTGTATCTGCTGCCAGGATTAATGAAATTTAGGCAGGCTTATTATGCTAGAAGTTTGAATCGTGGAGGTGTCATTATATTTGTAGTTCTCTTCAGAATGTTGGTTAGTGGTTGCAAGTAAGTCTTTCATGAGTGATTTAGCATTAAATGTGAGCTTGATTTAAAAAGGGTCTTGATGGTAAATTTAAGTGACACTACAAACACATTTTTCCATTATGTAACAGACACTCTTAAAACAACTTCCAATTTGGCTACTTCAGTTTGACACATAATATGTTAACTTTGAACACCAAACTGAAACCACCCATAAATGTGATGCTGCCTTCTGAGAGGATAAGTAACAAACAGTCTCCTGCAGGGCAATGCTCAAAGTCGACCAAGGCAGTGACAAGCTGTCTGCATCAAATGATTTATTCCAAGGTCCTTAAAACTGATACTTTCCAAGGGATTCTGTGAATGGTCAGGTCTCCTGAAACCAGGTGTAGCAACACAGTCTGCAGCCTCTGGGGCTGTGGAAGAAATAATGAGTTCTTAGAGAAAGTCTTGTGCTGAAAACTGGATAGATTATCCTTGCAGTTGAGGCAAATATCCCATTAGAAGGACAAAGAAGAGAGATCTGTGAAGTGTTATTTCTCCAAACTGTGCTCATAAAGTGTTTAACGTGCTGCCCTTATCAGATGAAGCTATTCCCTAGGCTAGAAATCTGCATCCTGGTAAATACTTATATTCACTAATTTTTAATGCTCCTTTCCTATGCACTCAGTCTGAGGACGTTGATCTGCTTCTGGTAAGTGGTAGTGATGTTCATCTTAATAACAAGGAAAAGAAAATCAGTTCTTTTGTATGAGTGATACTTGCGTAGGTGAAGTGTTGGTTGAAATAAAACAGAAAATTTTTCCATAACTATTTTGTGAACAAAAAGGTCATCATAATTTTTGAAATATAGCAATATGGAAGGCTGGGTGCAGTTGTTGCACATGCTTAAATTACACATGCTAGAAGAGAGGTTTCTTGCTGGTGCTTTGAGAACCTGTAAACTTGTGCTGTTGAAGGTGGCGCAGCCTTCTGGAATTTTTTTGGTGGCTCTCTGGTCATTTTATCCTGCCACTCACCAGAGTAAGGCTCTCCAGTGTAATTTTTACAGTACAACATGTAGTGCTCTGGAGTTGAAGATAAGTGTGCAACTGCTGCACTACCCAAAACTCTCAAAGTTTTGTTTTATTGCATAAAATCGCAGTGCTCAGAGCACCATCTGCTGGTAAGAGCCCAGTGTTCAGCAATCTCGGGGTGCAGCCCTAACTTTCAATGCATAAAATCCAGTAGGACTGGCTTTGGGGCTTTTTTCTTTTGCCTTTTTATTTATTATTACTATTCCTATTTTTTTTTCTTTTTCATTTGAGTGGAAAGGAAAACTCTGAGCATTGAGTTGACATATTTCATCAGCTTTTTACACTCTCTGTTCTTCTACCCACAATAAAAGCAATCTTAGTTGTTACTAGTTCAGTTACCTAGGAGATACTGATGTAATGGGTTACTATGGTGACAACTGGTCTCTTGAAGGCTTGTAAATGATAGGGTTGGCAGAGTTCATAAAAGCCACATGTTAAATGATTAATTTCTAGAAATTTGTATCAGCCTGTATTTCTCGTGCACCAAACATGCCCAGAAAGCTAATGCACTCAGCTGACTTAAAACTAGTCAATAATATGTTTATTTTACTTACTTTAAAAGAATCAGAGGATAAATAACTCCCAGTCTGCTCAGTCATTGGCTACTCCAGTGGTTTCCGTAGCAACTCCTACTCTACCAGGGCAAGGGATGGGAGGATACCCATCAGCCATCTCAACAACATATGGTACTGGTAAGTATGGGTGCAAGAGGTAAAGGGTGGGGGAGGGAGCAAGATGCTGACAAATGTCTGTCTCAGTACTAATGAGTTAGGTAATGTTGGTTGGGAGAAACTGAAAAATTCATAGCTGATCTCCTTTTGCACTGCATTTACTTTCTCTGTATCTGTCACTAACTTGAGGCATACCTATTTAAAAGTAAGCTATTTTGTTTGATTGGAAAATTGCTTTGATAACTTTCTTTCATTGACTTCAATGAGAAAAATCTAACTTAATAGACATTTCTGAATCATCTTAACACCACAGGTAATTTTGTGTTGTTGAGTGTGCCTTCCTAAAGTCATAAGGGTAGTGGGAGTAAGAAGCTTTAAAACAGAGTTCAATAACTTTGTGGGCTATCACACAGTCACCTGGAAGAGACTAGGGATGAAGCCCCAACAGATGCCCTTCAGCATCTCCAGAGCACGCTGGCATACAGACCCAATGCTCCTAGAGAGGATGCTTGCTGTTCAGACACAGGCTGCTTGCTGGGCTCTGCAAGGAACACTGTAACCAAAATGTTGTGTTTTTCAAGTCTTTTGACTCTAAGAATGCATCTGTAGTTATGATGGATATACAGACTAAGAATGCTGTGGATCTTCCAGACCCAGAAAAGCCCTGCTAAATTATGGAATAATTATTAGTGCATTATTTGCTTCCAAGCTAATGAGTGGAGGGAAGAGGAAGGTCTACTTTTTCTGCTGCAAGTTAATGTGATTGATGTAATTAAAATTAAAATTAAAAGGCTTACAAAGTGACATGTGAAAATTACTATGCTAGTTATTGTTTAATTGCTTCCTTTTTAATTCTCTTTTAATTATTGTCTTTTCTGTTTTCAAATCTAGAATATTCTCTGAGTAGTGCAGATATATCATCTCTCTCTGGGTTTAATACAGCCAGTGCTCTTCATCTTGGTTCTGTGACTGGCTGGCAACAGCAACACCTACATAACATGCCACCATCTGCCCTCAGCCAACTGGGGTAAGCAGTGTTTTCTTTGTTTTATTGTTCTATGGTGACTTCAGTCTCCCCAGTAATCCCAAATCTGAAATACATCAAGACAACATATCACCACATATTTACTACGTGTAAAAGCTCCATTTCCAAAAACTAGAACTACATATTTCATTAAAAGTTCGCTAGGTAGCTACAGTGAAATATTCTGTGTCTATAACATTTTCTCAGTAGTGTAGTAAAGACTACTGTTCATGTTTTTATTTCTTTAAACAGAGTTTTATTTTACTACTAAAGACCAAACTAAACACTTATATTGTGCTGTTGCTTTATTTTGCCATTTATGCTTTTTATTTCCAGTTACTATAGCACAAACTTTTACAGTAAACTTGAAAATGTGCCAAATATTTTTAACAAGGTACTAGTGACGTAAGGATTTGACCTCAGATTAAGCCTTAACCTTATATAATAATCACATACTCCCTTCTGCTCAGCTCTGACATTCAAGTTTCATTTCTTTGGAAATGTTTTCTACAAGCAAATAGCATCATTAAGCCTAAGGACTGTAAACCCCCAAAACTCTCTGCGATTTGCCTGTGCTGAGGAGGACAGGTATCCATGCCCTCTAGTGGCTAATTTCAATACATTTATTCAAGATTGGTGAAGAACACTGCTAAATCATTTCAGGATTTTTTAAAAGTGTGAAAATTCACACCGGGAAGGGGTTCTCATGCATTCTTGAAAAAGCAGCCGATTGGCTCACTGAAGTCAACTTTAAAAGTACAATATTCAAAAATCCGTGTATCTGCATTTTCTATTCAGTAAGACTGTAGGTGTTCACCAGCACACCACATGTAGCCTGAAATACGGCTGGACGTGTGAATTTTAAAGGTTTTCATTATAAAAACAGAAGCTGAGAACAGCTAGGGTGTATTTATGAGGAGAAATTTAATTCACATGCATGTGAAAAGTAAACCTTTTTTTGTTGAGGAAGAGGTGTTGCACATGGGCATTGATTTTTATGACACTGTTTGATACGATAAACGTGGCTTAAACTTCAAAATTCTCCTTTTAATTTATCTGACTACTTTTCTAACTTACTGTAATTTCTTTACCACTTGCAGACAGTTTGAGTTGTCAAAGGACAGGTGTTTCAGAGGAAACAAATTTTTTTTTAAACCTTATTTCTATATCAATAAGCCCATATAGATATTAACTACATTAAAAAAACACAACTGAAATATTTGCTGTGATAGAAAAATAGTCTTAATACCTTTCTCTTATACTTCTATTTTCTTTTTTGAGTTTGCACTGTTTCTGGGGCAACATTCAGGCTAACTGTATAACTAAAGACATAAATTCTCAAATAAATTGAAAACTCACATGTTAGATATCAATGTATGACCTTACAATAAACTGATTGTTTTCAGTGGTGTACCAAAGAATGTAATAAAACCATTTAGTTAACCAAAGAAAGTAGAAATTAAATCCTAAACTAACTACATGCCTTTTCAGATATGTCACACATCATCATCTGTTTCTAATTCATATCACAGAATGTCAAAGCGTAATAGCTGTGGCTGGTGGAATATATTCTGAGTTTCTACTTTTATTATTATTTTTTCAGTGATTTTTAAATCAATTCAGCTATGAAAGCTGCTTCAGTGACAGTTCTGGTGAAGTCTTCTATCTCTGCAGAAAACCACAAGCATTTATTTATTTGGTTTTTTTGTTTAGTCACAAAGTTCTACATGCAAAACCACCTGTGCTAACTTTTGGATTATTTGAAAAAACTTGAAATTATATAGAACATATTCAATCCGTGGCAACCTGAGCTAATATTTATAGGAAGATTAAAATAATCACTCAAAATTACAGCTGTCCCCAGGTATTTGAGGAAATACATCTAGAAAGGGTTTGACAGCCCAAATCCCTGTGCCGAGTGAGGTCATATTCTGGAAAGATTTAGCAACTGTGAGATGTTTGTTGGTAACAGTAGGATGTAAAGACCTGTGAGAAAATATAGTAATGGAAGAGACATCCTAGTTCTCCACTGGGTTCTGTTTTTCACCAAAGCCTGAGGGTGAAAACCAGCTCTACTTCCTCAACGTGTGGCAGAAGAATATGATCAGTAATAGAGCAGGGTGTGGATAGACTTGTTAGCTTGCTCCAAATAAGTCCTCAAAAATTTCAGCAGTACTGTCAGAACCATCTCTAAGATAATTGGAGAAGATGTCTACAGCCCAAAATCTTGACTCTTCATGCTGACTCTGCAATTAGCAACCATACCAGTGCTGGAGGCTTGAAAGCAAAGACATGAGGACATGGGAGCAGTTCACTTCCCCTGCCTGCACAGCTTTTGGCCTTTTGCTGAGCCTGGTAAATAGTATAACAATGTAAAGCCTGTTAAAACATGATTGGGACTCTAAAACAAGTCAGACTTTTCAACTTCTTAAGTTAAAAACAAGATAGTATTTTCATGGTCTTTTAAATAGATCTACAACTGGAAAAAATATGCACAAATTCTATTGAAAATCAATCTTTTCCAAAATTTTTGGATTTTATCTGAATATTGCTTCAATGTCTCTTACAGAGAGGGTTACTCCTTATTTAACATGGAGCAAAGAGTCTACCAGAAGGTAATTGCTGCTAACCAGAAGAGAAGTCCATTCCAAACTTTGAAATAAGTGATCTAAAATTTTTAGGCACAAGTCCATCATATGGAAAATGTTCTCTTTCATCCTTATTTCCCAGTCTAAAAGAGAATCCTTTCTTCCCTAAATGTCATCCCCAGGTGAAACTCTGGGTTTCCCAAAATAAACATTAGAAACAGTATTTCATCTGAAGAATCTTCAGTATATCGAATTGTTTATGTAAAACAAGTTTCTCCAGACTTCTACCCATCTGAACAAAAAAATGCCCAAATTCATTCATACAGCTGACTGGTTCTGTGACTCTTACATAGCAAACTTATTACTTAGCAACTATTACTTTTTCTTAGGTAATAGCCATAGCTAGGTTTGGGAAAATATTCTCCACTGAATCATTTCTCTTGAAAAATTTAGATGCAGTGACATCATGGTTTGTGAATTTGTGTCAGTTCTGCCAACTTCCTCGTTTTGAAAAAAAAAAAA